TAATATATTATATACGTGTTTATACTATACATTATACGTATCATACGATACGTCATGCTGTAATATTACACGCAGTATTACGATTAAGAATATAAAGCGTGCCTGGAAAATCGTCGTATATATGTGTCGTGCGTGGGTGGTGTAAAGTGCATAAATCATTTCATATACTTGAACGGCTCGTGATTCAACGCCCTGTTACTATCAACTCTTCGCTGTTGATTGACCAAATAAAATTGTTGCCTGTATTATTGTAAAAAGCAGAACGAACACCGCCGGGATTTTCAAGCGCCGCGCCGCGCGGAGGCGCTCGATTGTCCGAACGTTACGTCATCCTCACGAACAGTTTCATTTTCTAAGCATCTGGCGCTGTACGCTCCGGTTCTTCTAACGCGGTTGCAAAATCGAGGCACAGTCAGGCATCTTATGAACGCTACTTTTTCACCGAGCTCGAGCGGGCCGAATCATTTTTTTTTTTTCGGCCCGCAACTATCATACAAGGAGAGCTCGTTAAACGACACGTTTTTACTTTCGCGTTGACGTATAAAGGGGGGGGGGGAGGGGGAACAGAGGGAGGATATTTTATATTCAAGGAAGAAAGAGGATTCCCTTCTCGATTGGCACAAAAGCTGCTCGACGACAAAAGGCCACGCCGCTGCCGGACGGCTCCCTTATCTTGCGTAATTGAAAGCCGGCGAAATCGTACCAGAGGTGAAATCGCGCTTTTGCTGTCAAATTACCGGTAAACTCAATCAAACTGCCTTATCCCTCGCCACTTTATTGCATCCTTTATCGCCCCGCCATTAGATCGAATTATTCTTCTTAACTACCATTCCTCGCGTATCACACGTATATTTTCGTTCGCCTCGTTCAAATTACTTAGCAGGTCGTGAATGCGAATAACGATTTCCGAGAGAAAATTTGATAAATAGTAGCGTACGAACATAATTACACGTCAAGTCGCTATTTGACCGCATTCTTTCAAATTACGGCGAATGATATGCCTGGATACTAAAAATTTTACAACATTGAATATTTCAATCGGTCATAAAAATCTTAAAAATAAACTTTGATAAAAAATCTCAACTAACTTACGATTTTAATAAAATGCATACGATTTAAATTTGTAATAAGTATAATAAATAGATCGTCTTCGCAAAGATAGTCCTCCACTTTCTCGAGGATTAGAAACATAAAATCAGAGGCGTGAATATCAGTGTTATAGATAGAAAATCTCACAACACAACGAGCGGCCCTTATTAAACCCTTTTGTTTTACAGTCGCTCTCTCGTTCGATTTTTCATTGCAGCGCGCACGCGCGCCAACGCGTACGTAGGACGCGTCCAGCTTTCACGCGAAAGAGATACCATTATTGTTTGCAAAGGCATGCCACTGAAACGTACCGTAATTGCACAAAGGTGGTCCCTGTCCAGAAAACTGGGCCCGCCCGTCTTGCGTAACGCGAAGACGCGGAAATCGAGCGCGAAAAGAAATTACGCCTTGCATCATCATCGAACGTGCAACGTGAATGCACTTCATCGCGCGCGCGACCGGAAATATTTCTGATCTTATCGTTTCACACGGCGCGGCGCGGCGGAAACACATACCATCTCGCGCATAATACTCGAGTACGACGACGACGAAAGCGGAATATTTGATTTTATTTGATTTGATTTACTGGATTTCGCGCGAGCACCTCATATTTTCTGGCACACGGCGCAGATTGATTTCCCGCATTTTCGCGGATCCGATTCGACTTGTCGAATTAACGACGCGACGTGGCGTGCAATTATTCCCTCCTTGCATAATCGAGAAATATAATTCATGCCGCGAGCCAGCACGCTTCCTGTCGCGGAGAGGAGATAGCAGCGGTTCTATTAACCGAAGCGACGCGGATATGTGATCTTTAATTCACTCACGGGATAGCCTCACACACGGAAATCGACGGAGAGCCATAAAAAGGCCATAGAGTCCGCGCGGTATGTACATGACTGATTCCAAATTGATGTATCCCATTACGGAATCGCAGATTGCCCTCCCCGCAATTAAAGCGTCGCCGTGTTTATTCCAAGATTTCTATCCTCGAAATCGTTTTGAAATTCTTACTTAACGTGTGAGTAAGATATTACTTCACACGATATATCAGACATTACCTCGTTACGTTTGAAACGGCGATTCGTATTCCACACTCGACGCATATCCGCGGGTATTAATCTGAAAATGAGAAATCAAGTTGATTGTGAGGAATACATAATTCCCTCGTTACTCTCCAGGCATAGGCGCCACCTTATCGAGGGGTATATGAATGTCTAATTTTCTTCGCGAATCGCCTTCCCTTCCCGTTCAATTGGATATTAAATAAATTATATAATATAATTAATACTGTCTTCAAAAAGATACTTTAATTTCAATAACTGCCAAAAATAATATAATGGCGAGATAATAATTTTCTACCAACTGTACTTTTATAGACATAAATTATATATATTGAGGGGCTCCGTAAATTCAATTACTAATAATCAATGCGTTGCACAATGGAGACATTGTGGATTAATTATATTATTTTCATTTCTCCTCTATCTCTCTTTCTTTCGTAATAGGGAGCGATGGAGCGGTAACAGGTGAAGGATAAATTTGACGAAAGAAGACATTGATGAAAGAAGTTTCTCTCTCCCGATTGATAATACTAGGATTAAGCAATATTGATGGATAACACTGACGAGCGAGGTTTCTGGGGACCGATCATAAATCGCTCGCGAGAAATGAAAACCGGTCGGAGATGGATGAACCGGACGTTCGGTTGGTCGACGCCCATGGAACGGACGGTTTGGCGAACTGCCCCAAAACTGGTCCGACCGGTTGCATAATCGGAAGACCGGGAAGTCGTGCCTTTCCGCGAAACGTCTGCGAGGCGCACAATGAGAGCCGACTGACTTGGACTCTCGTCCACTTTCACCGTCGGTCGCGCGCGCGCAGTTTTAGCCGGTGGTTTTAGCCGCGACACGACCATTGGTTCGTTATTTGCAAACGGCCGAAATCAACAAGAGAGAAATAGAGAGAGAGAGAGAGAGAGAGAAAAAAGTCGCACAATTTCGCCGACCGACCGGAATCGGATGTAATCGTTTTAATTGAGGCCTCCTGGAAAGGAGGAGCCTCGATGATTACCCGACGAAATCGTGCGTTTCGAAATTGTGCGTGAAAGTAATCCCGAAAGCAGATCGACACCCCGTTCCTTCGCCTCCCTCTGCCGAGCACGCCGGCATTGATACAGGTGCATGTTTTGTAGATCGCAAAAGCAAAAAAAAGGCGAAGTCAACGTGTTCGCGAGTTGAGCAATTCGGATGCCGACGGGCTGGAGGAATCGGTTACGTCATGCGCGTATCGAGCGCGTATATAGAAAATTATACCTGAAATGGGTTCGTGAAGATAGATGACACGAGATGGACCGAGTATCGAAGGGAATTGATCGCGTGTACTTATGGGCACGCGACGCGCGACGTCGTTCGTTTCGAAACTATCGGTGAAAGTGATCGGGCTTAAAGAGATTAAACGATAAATTTATATTAAGAGACACTAGCATATCTAACTCTCTGATGTGCGTGTTAGCACATCAAATTAGTTAGCATATAAAATGTAACTAATTAATTCAACAGAATTATGCTAAATTGGCTTGGCCGTAAAACTTTCTATTAGAGAATTGGCGATCCGCTTTGCTGTCTTCCTTATCCGTAGCGGAGATCAATCAAGATACAAAACTTTCATTTTGAATTAGTAAATAAAATAAAGGGCTAAGCCAAGGCAGGGTGTGTAATGCTCCAAAAAAAATTCGTTAACTTACAAGAATAATAACTTTCATTTTGAAATGATTTTCTTTAATCTTGTATATATGATTTTTTAAAAAAATAGATAATAGCTAAAGTATAAATTATTAACGACATAATTATTTTGAGAAATTCGTCTCTACATTCAAGCTATATAACATCGTTTTAACACAATTTACACAGCACATCATTTCGCAATAAATCTATACAGATATTTTATGTACATTTATGTATAAGAAGCGACGTACATAGAAAATCAAATCAGCTGAAATATCGTTTTAACGTCGCGATTATCTTTGTCTGGCCGATTCTACTCGGGGGAAGGGGATAAAAAAATAATTGTATTACAGTTAACGGCAGGACAAATAGCGAGAGATAATGAAGGTTTTCTGCCTTTTGAAAGGCGCGCTTTTGAGAAACAACAGGCTGGAATCGTTACGGTGATCGTAAAGACCATTACGTCTGCGAAATAAACTCGGGGTCAACGATATCCCAGAATAATATCTGGCATTACTTGGCCGGTAATGAGGGTAATTATGATTAGTGTTGTTCCGACGAAACAATGCTCAATGCTTACGCAACGCGGGACGTAGAGCGGCACCAATGTCACTGTCTCGCGCGATTAGGTCGACGATTTGTACGAACGCTGGCTAATGCAGAAAGCATGGACCACAGTTCAATCATTCTTTTTCTTTGACCGCATGAGATTTGAATTTGAATTTTACTCGCTTATTAATTCAGCATATTCATTTTAACAATTTTTTTAATACTTTGTGTGGAATGACGTAACATGTACATATACTTTTTTTGTTGATTACGTAAAGAGATTTGCTATACATATAAAAATAATAAAATCAGATAAGACAAATTTCATAACATACATGTTGAAATAATCGTAACGAGAAGTCTGAAGCCAAATAAAGTTAATAATAACGTAACGCAAAAGTTACGTTATCTTTTGCAATTTCGCGCGAATTCTTTCTCTCCGAGCTGGATACATTTTCCGTCCGTTGACTTGAGAGCAGCTCAAAAGGAAATTTCCACTTCTCGTTTTAATGAGACGAGAAGGCGGGTGGAAAAGAAGAAAGTCAAGTATAATATATTCGAATTACAAAACGGAAGCACCGGATTGCGCGATTTAGGCACGCGCTCGTCGAAAACGCTTTCGCGAGAAGTGTGATTTTTACTCCCGCTTGACGAGATTTACAACGGAAACTGTGCAAGACACTGTTTCATAAGGATTACCGCGGTAGACCTCTTTTGTGTACATACACGTCCGATATTAATCGCGCTCGCTCGTTCTCTAAAACGAATCGCGTATTAAAAACTTTTAAAGTAGAATTTGACTTCTCGATGCGCATCCATGTGTAAAATAATCTGTCGTGTAAAGTAATCCTCTTCTCTCGATGTTGATTTATTCTCGATTCTCGTCTGTGTTACAATCGCCGCAAAGTGATAATCTACGAGATCAAGCCAATAATTCACTCACAGACGCGGGAGATAGAATTATCTATCTTCATCTGCTCCTGGCACTCTTAAACGTTGCAATTTCATTATTACGCTTCGCACGGAACATCTGATTGTGAGTTTCATCGTTAACACGGTATTCGATCGGCGTGATTTATTGCCTATAACAAAATTCAACGGCTCTCGCGCGGTACGAGTGTCACTGCGCCGCAGGAGAGACGCCGATTTCCCGCGAACTCTCCGAAACTGTTTCTCACCGTTCTCCATTACTCCCCGATACCGTTCTCCATGTATCCATTAGAATGCTCGATGAGCACGTAAAAATTTCCGCAACCCGGCCGCTTTCTATTTCCTGTTTCCAAATCTCTCGCAACGCACTACGCACGGTTTGAAAACGTTTCACCCGATCACACAGCCGGGCGCATTAAACGACGCGACATATTAGCGTAACCGTTATGCAACCATCCCGTTGTTCCGCGCCGTGTTCTACCTTCGCATCGATTCGCAATCGAAATCTCGCAGAGGCGGGTCCCGATGCGGATGCAGAATTGCATAAATCCGCCGAGGCTGCTCTGTCGAAGTCTCTCTCTTTCTCTCTCTCCCTCTATCTTTCCCCGAGCAATAATCCCACATCTCACGATCGTGTATCATTTGGCGTATAAAATCAATTTTATTGATGTCCATTTCTCCAAAGTACATATCTCGGCGTCGTCGGCGATTACAGGGAGATTTTCCCCGGGTGCAATTATCCTTGAGCAATCGTCGGTTGCGACAATCAGTCGTATCGTCGTCCGTTTGGCGCACGATCATTGGCACGAAATTGGTGCGAAGAGCCTAGGCGTACCTTAATGGACGAAAACTCGACGGAAAAGCTGAATAGATGTTATTTACGACGACCGCTCCTTGCGGCAGCGGCGACGGCGGCGGCGGCGGCGGCTTGTTTATCCACTTTAGATGCAAGGACGAAGAGAAGTTTAAGTCGAGTTCTAAATGCCACGGGCGAGTCCGCGTAGTTCTCGACCCCGTTTTCTTTCCTCGGATTGCTCGATACGGCAAATCGCCGCGCTTAATTATAATATCACGAAAAGAGGTTTGACAATCGCCGATAATAAGCGATCAAATCGGACAAACGCTCAATATGCATAATTGTTCCTGTTCCCATTTAGGTACGATCGAATATGTGTAAAAAATTGCGAGTGTGTAGTTAACGTGACATTACATACTTTTACGCTACACTTTCTGTGCAGCGAATCGTTTATCCAGCTTTATTGAATTAAATAAAAAAATTAGTGAGAATTCAGACTTATTTGCAGAATCGGTGTTGGTTTATACGTATTTATAATTCGATTTCGAGTATAACAAATAGCCGGTAATAATCTATACAGTCGTCGCGTCGCCGCCGTCCCGAGTGTCCCGACACGTTTTCCACAAATTGGAAATATATTTTGAACGTAGATGCTTCGCGTATTATTGAGCAACTGCGCTCTATGCGTGATTTCACACAAAATTGCAAAATGAATTAATCGGCATGCCGCCCGCCACCGGTGTGGGCGCGACATCCACAGTTGGCTCCTATATATACCATCATTAAAACGTTCGTATTAATTAGCTCGGTTATGCCGTGACGAACGAGCGGGAATTCGGTCAGGGATTTTGCACGAAAAACAAGTGCCTCTTGGGGAAACACTTGGCGCTTCGCGACCGATATTTACGCGCCCGTTCCCGTTGCCCGGAAATATTTGCTAAATGTCTCGACGACCAATCCGAGGCAATCGGGGAACGCAATTTAATGAAATTTACGAATAATCGTTAATTACTTCTACCAAATAAAATGAGCAAGTAAAAGCGTGTATTACGTAAAAAAAAATTCGACCGACGAGGAAGTGCATAATTTCTATATTACTTAAAGAAGAAAAGATTACGATCGAACTACAGGGCGCGAATGCAATCACGCGATGAAGAATGTTTTCTTCGACAAACCGCGCGTTCTTGCAAGGCACATTAATATCATTAACGATACTATATATTACCTCATGAATTTTTTTTCAAGTGATATTCAAATTTAATGTAGCAATAATCTTTGTAGAATCTACATTACTTTATTCCGATGCTAAATTAAATCGATCGAATTACGAATAAAATACAAGCAAATTATACATTAATACATTATAGCACGTTACGTTAATAAAATTTATTTAAGTTGCCTAGATATATACATATGTACGAAAACTGAGTCATATTTCATTTTTTAAAATTTTTACTATGTTTCGAAAGTTTTAACTTTATACAAGTTTTAACTTTTATTCGTATCATAATACGCTTCCTTACGGTTTTTCTTTTCTTTTTTTTTGCTTGTCAGATGGTCACCGAAATGCATTGCGCAGATAAACGATACGTAGCTTAGATACAGAACTTACTCGCAGCTATTGCGCCTTGCAATTGTGAAATGTTTGTTTAGCTCGCTTCAGCTGCACGATAGAGTGCACGTAGGGTCTACGTCATCAAGATTGGCGTACGCGAACTGGCATTTGAAAATGCAGAATGACTGGAGAATTGGTGAGAAGAAAAAGACTATTATTTACTTCAACATAACGTATTTTGTTTCCAGATAAAACAATAATAATTATAATTCTCATAGCTAGAAAAATTATTTGATATTTATCACCTAAACGTCACTTATGGAAACTACATCTCTGTGTGAATATTTATTTATAAATACTCTAATTTATTCTTAAGATAAAATCTCTAGCGTTTCAAAGCGTATTGACAATGCTGGTGAATATGATTGTTTTATGTCACCCGAGGCTATAAGTTTATTTAAAACAATGAATTTCAATGAAATACACAGGCGGCATTGGCCGCAGGGGGCGTTCCTTTGTAATTACTAATTACTCTATTTAGTGGGATGTTGTGCAGCGTTACGGGATTAAGCGGTCGATGCTTCGGATCGACGATCCAGCCGTACAGCCCGATCTATTGCGTGCCGCGAGAACAAGAGGGAACGCGGTGAATTGCCCGCCCAATCATCTCATTACACGAGTCTGCTTGCTCTCGGCCGTTCCGACAGACAACTCTAAACTCCGGCTTTCGCCTATCTATTCCAATTCTTTCCTAACGTGAGAGATCAGCCGCATCCACATCCGACACACAACGGGCTGCGAGCGAAAATAAGCTGTTATAAGCTGCGGGATGTGGGAGGAATCGTATATGCACCATTACTTAATTCGCAAATAATGCAAACGGATACACAACGTAGTGTAGTGGCGCAATAGACAAGATAGCTAAGACAAAGTACAGAATTACCTCGGTTTTCATGCGCGATCAAAAGCCACAGGGTTTATATTAAATTACGTTATGAAATAGTATGAGTTCTCATATTTTACACTCGTCGCCTGATCGATCTATCATTTCTATCACGCAACCAAGCGTGGCAAAAGTGTCATATCAATCCCCGCGAGAGATCGAAAGTGACTTTTTTTCTGCCGATATGCGACGCAAGAGAAACACTCGATCTCTGTTTCAACCTAGCCTACTTTTTCGAGAACAAGCCGCTCGATCGTGTTTCACCGCTTCTCTAATCGGCTCGCGAACCCATGTCGAATTTTGTCAACCAATCCATTTCTCCATACAGTACGCAATACCGATCTCGTGTTCTCCATTATTGTCACGCTCCGCTGCTGGTGGCTCGCAATGGGCACTTCGCTGGTCGCAATGTCAATGTCTCCGCAGGATATCCGCGCCGCTTTGCGAACCCGAAGTACCAGCATGATGGTGTCGCACGGTCTCTCTCTCTCTCCCTCTTCTGCTTCGGAAACGAGGGCCCACTGTACGACCGCCGCCCTTCTGGACGCGCCCGCCCTTGCCCCCGGAGCCCCCCCCGAGCGGCGTGATCGTCGTCGTCGTCGTCGTCGTAGTCGTCGTGCCTCGTCGGAGTTGTCGGAGGGTCGGAGTTCATTGTGCCACAAGTGCATTCCGAGTACCGGCCGACGCCAATTGCTCGTTACCGAGCCCAGTTGCGAATCGCTCTGTGAAAGCGGCAGTGACATTTCCCCGGAGCGAGGGCTCGGCCCTCGGCGGAGAGATCGGTCCCCGAGATCAGAAAAAAAACGCCGTGAGGATCGTGCACATCTGCGTGTGCACAACCGCGAGCGATGATACTCGCGTTCTCGCGAGATAAAGAGCAGCGACATGGTCCCGCGTTTCGCGTATTTCGACACGACGACCACGACGACAACGTCACTTTGCGCAAGGCAGTAGCTTCTCGTACAATAAGAAATTAATTTGAATTTCGTTTCGTTATTCACGCGCGCTTTCAACGAGACTTGTGAGAAAACGTGTTGCGAATTGAGATTAGCGTGGAAGTGATAAGTACAGGTGTCGCGCGGATTAAATCGAAGGCTAGTGCGCACATTGCGGTGAGTAAAAGACATAGAATTATTTTCTCATGTCACGCGTGACTTATTAAAATGCATAATGAATTTACGTCATATATTCATAATGTACAATATAATAAATTTTGTCATAACTTTAATCACGTAAGTTTGAAAATAGGCATAGAAAATTGTGTAAAATTGCCATTAATATAATTATTACTGCAATTCATCATTACTGTAATAATAATTAGAGACTGTTTTATCAGAGAAAAGAATAGCACGGAAGGAGATTCTTTTCTCACGTAGTTAGCGATATTAGCCCGCATGACGGATGCATTGAAACTGCACTTTGAACTAGCGATGTGACGCATATCCCTTTCCCTTTTGCGGAACGATCGAACGATTGCAGTGGGAACACGTCACTTTATTTTCCTCACTCCTTTCGTCGTAAACTGTCGCGAGAAAAATCGTTTTTCACCTTAATTGGCGTCGTTCGTGCTGATTATAATTACATAATCGCTCGTAAAAGAGCTCGGTGAAACGCACAGTGTAAACCGAGGTAACATCGGGGATAATTTGCATCTACGTTTTCATTGCTCGTTTTACAATCCTACACAAGACTCAGTGTGTTCCCGGCATAGGCGTTTCGAATAATTGCAAATTGTGTAATCGCGACATTTGCCCGTCCGAGCTTCTTGCATGTCGCTTTGAGTGAATTTTAAAGCGGACACAGACTTATTGCGCGTATCCGCCTATCGTATTATCGTTGCGTATCAATTGAATGATAGGATGCGGTGCGCCTTTGCATGTCATCGTATCCAAATTTTGATATGCAACGCCTACATTGATACGCAGATACGCAATATAAAAGTCTATATCCGCCTTTTAGATCTCTCGATTATTTGCGGAATAGGATGTTCGAAGCGACTTTTGCGCGAACGAAAAAGTTGACGACCTCTGAATTAATTCCAAAAAAAAAAAAAGACAAATATCCTTGAAATTTATATTTTGATTGCACCGGTTTAAGTTTATTAATGTCTTCCGTGAGAACCACGACATAAATCTGTCGCGGAAACCTTATTTTGGCAACTCGGATGTATAAATGCAGGTACCATAAAATACAAAGACAGTTATAAAACGCCGAAGAATGCAAGTATCGTGACCGGTAAAAAAAATCCTCAGAATTCATTAAACGAAAAGAAATTTACTTCTCTTTCGTATTAATCGCAATTATACACGTGCCATCCAAAATGAGATTACATTTTACTATAAATAAATAAATAAAAATAAATTTCGAAGAAATTTATCTTGCTCAATATGTTCGATTAGCTAGTTTTGTTGATCGTTACAAAAATAATTAAACATTAGTATGGAAATAATAAAATAATTAAATAAAATAACAAAAACAATGAAATTACGCATTGTATCTATATCTTAATAAATTATCAACGGTAATTTCACGGGTATATAACGAGATTAGAGAAAACTCACATTTCGAAAAGCTTTCTTTCGAAATACTGGAACTGGCTGTTGCAATAGTTCTAAATAAGAAACGGAATTCTCACGGTTAGAACAGCTGGCCGACGCGTTTGAATGAACATCTCCTCAACTTCTTGTTCGTCCCCCACGCGTAGCTATCCTGTAACGGATAGAAAAACATTATGCTATCTAGCACATGTGAAATTTGATGCGGCCTTCGTCGGCATTAGTATTAGTTAATCGGATTAACGTAGCATGACAGCTACTCTAATCAACCGCGAAATTCTTATTTCTCTTTCGCGTCGTTTTCACAATTCATCATTTGGTACAAATATAGCAACTAAAGTCACTCCTATAGAATTACAGTTAAATAATAAATGACATGATGGAATTATTTATATGCTTTCAGTTACAAATATATCGAATTAATACAAATATAATGAGACATTCTGCCGCGGCTTGATTATTCAATCAGATAATCAATACGCAGAATTATCGCAAAATTGTCACGACCTGTTCGCTACGCAAAATATAAGTATCGTTTCTCGTTGCAAATATTGATTTCGGTTGTATAATATTTTATTCTATTGTGCAATATTCTACGTTATTCCCGCGACACTTTGACATTCGCACTTGACGCATATTCAATATTCAATGTCGCACTTGTATCGTGCCACGATTGGGGTTAGTTAATACTTCCTCCCAAAGAGAGAATACCTTTTTGGAGGGGACGTTCTTATCATTCACGCATTGCGACAAGTGTTCCCGGCCTGTACGAATGTCCAAGCAGTGTCACGGTAATACGATCAGAGAATAGAGAATTTTTGTCGTTCAAATTATTACAATTTATAAGCACTCAAATTATTATATTACACAACATATTTAATGTCTGGCTTATTTTTCACGCGTCTGAATCTGTTCAAATTATTGGCAGTAAAACGCAAGATACTTTCTATTCGATAACAGTTTTTTTTTTCTTTCGACTGGTTAGCCGACTTTCGGCTGGATACACCGAGAAGATGAAAGGGTTACTTTTACTTGGATAACGCCGACAACCACTGGGGTCTCTTCAATGTGGATTTTTCTAAAGAAATCGTGTTTGAGACCCAAAAGTACCTCTATCTTTTTCGCAGTAAGTATGTTGCACAAGATGCTCACCCTTAATAATAGTCACCCTGTCTATATAGAGAGTCTAATCGAGGGACATCTTTTAGATCCCGTAATTTTACTGCAATGAGTCTTTCGGAGATTTTGCGGATCTTCATCCTGATCGCGGCGTTTGAAACAGTGACCATCGCTAAATCGTTGACCGGAGATCACGTTTGCTCAAGATTAGAGAAGTTGGTACCAAAACACAGAAAATACATAATAATGTGCAACTGTTAAAGAAAAGTCTCTTTATACACGATCTGTAATTTGTCAAAATAAAATCTAACGCGAATTGTAGATCGTCCAAAACTGACTAAGCCAGATAATTCAATTTTCAATATATAATTCGATATTTTTTTAAGAGACCTTCACCCCTGAAAGCCTTGACAATGCGCAGCCGGCATGCGTAATACGTACATAAATCATTATTATGCGCGCACCTCGCCGCATTCCATTGTAAACCCGATAAGGGAATCGCGGTGGCTAATCAATCGCACGTTACAGTTACACAGTTACGTCATACGAGACTTATACCGAGCCGGTCATAGTCATCACGTTCACCTGGTGCCTGGCAATTCCCCCGAGATGTCCCAAGACGAGGAACGAACTACGAACGCGATGTCGTGTGAAGGTAAGTTCAAGATGCTTAGTTCTTTCATGGCTCGAAAACTCGACCTCACTATTTGACGGGATGATTTGAGAGAAGACATTAATAAGTGTTAATTAGATTGATTTATGTTAATAAAAAATAATTTTCGTTTCGCATATAATTTTTTCACGAAAAAGTTAAATTCGAAAACACTAGCGTTTTTAATTAACTTTTTGAAGCGTCATGAACATTTGTCCACTTTCTCGATCAACTTGGTGTCCTGCAGAATACATCAAAGCATCGACGAAACAATAATTAGAGAATTCATCAACGACATACATGCATTTGCATCGAGAAAATTCTTTCAACGCAAATATTTCTATGCAAGCAATTTCATTGTTTATTCATCAGCGAAATTCTAGTTCATGTCGGCGGAAAAACCATTCTCTCAAACTTCTCAAAGGAATAGGAAAATATGTTAATCTTGCACATAACGGAAGCCTTTGCGTGTTGAATTTTGCGGAAGGCGTCAGTATATAACAGCCAAGAAATTATCGTTCCATCGACAGGATGGGCGATTGTTTGTATAATCTGACTTGATCTATAAATTTACTTTGCACGACATGAAGCTGTGGTAACTTAAAACCTAGAACTTAAAATTTACTGACCGGTGACATGGAGCTGATATACAACGACAGCAAAATAGAATCTTTATGACCGAAATTGAAATTGTCCAAAAAAAAAAAAGAAAAAGATAGACTCTTTCGAGACAATAGATTCATAATTTATTCTAACGTCAGCGGAATTGAGTCGCGGAAGAAGTTACGTAAATCCCCATTTCCACGCCTCGTTATGGAAAAATGTCGTTTCCCAGGCAACGTGAATGGAAAACGATCGGCGAAATACTTCTCGCGTGGCGGGGATATATCCGTGCGGCAAATCGCGCTCCACATACACAACGCAATAAAAGAACCTGTCTATTCTTCCGCTTTTGCCGCATGCTCTCTATCCTTCTTTCATACACCACTTGATTTTCCATATTTCTCTCTCTCTCTCTCTCTCTCTCTCTCTCTCTCTCTCTCTCTCTCTCTCTCTCTCTCTCTCCCTCCCCCCTCCTCTCATCCTTGCCGATACGAGCTAATTACAGGGAAAGTCCGTATTAACGGCAACCGTCTGATTAAGTAAATAAATAAAAGAAAATGCGGAGCACACGGACACGTACACTCTTGAGTGTCGATGCGAGAGGAGAGGGTACGTACGACGGGCGGCAGCTGTAATTACGCCCCGTGAAATGCGGAATTGACGAATCGCGCCGAAAGAAGGAGGAACCTGTCCTACCTCGGGATTACGAAACAATCCAGAAGCGGGCCATTAGCTGAAAAGGACTTCGCGCAACTTTTGCACCGTATCTTTGCGCCGTAGGGGGAAACGCCGGAAGTCAACAATTTGCGAAACGTTTAAAGTCGACGTGTCGCGCAGGTAGACGGTAACAAGACAATTTCTCCGGGAGATGCGCAAGGGATGGGAGGGAAGGAGGGAGGGAGAGATCGTATCGTGCGGTAATGTCATTCCGAGCAAGAACACGCGCTTAATCGCGCAGTGGAGCGGCGGATAAACGGTATTACGAGAAATTACGTGTATACTACGATCGATTGCGTCTAAATATGCAATCGCGCAACGCAACGCAAATAGGTATTCAATCAGATATTCCGGCGTGTTCGCGTAATTTAACGAGAGCTCTCGATCGTCCGGCCGCGATATCGCTTCAATTAAAGCGGCCGAATTACCGAGGCGCGAACGTAATAAAATCAATGTGAAATCTCTCGGCGGCTCGGATTTGTAATACGGGCGCGCGCCGGAGCCGGGCACTCCGATAACACGGCCGAACGAAAGTGAATTGCCGCCGTTTAACGGCAATGAGACGTGACGTGCGTCGTGTAAACAAAGTCCCAGCGTACGACGGACGTAATTGATGTGTAAAAAAATACCACGTGTCATCGACCAGACGAACCTCGGGCACGTATAACCCGAGCAATAGTCCCGAGAGAGAAGATTGTATGAGAATCTCAGTTGAGATTAATTTTCAATATCCGAACAAATGATATCTTGCGTTAATCTGTTCTCTATAAAAAGAAAATATCTGTATATCGTCATTTTTATCCGTCTGTATCAAGATATTCGAGAGGAGCAGAAGAATGTCAAAGGCCAAAACCTCCATTTTTCAAAGGAAGATTGCAAAAAAATTCAGAATGATGAATGTATAATATTTCTACATAAATTAAATAGATAAGCATAAATCCTGAGATTATTAAAATGTTCATGTTTAATGCCAAGAGTCGTCGAGGGTTATTTATAAACACACAAAGATTTTTGTGCCAGTAGTAGTAACTTAACACGTTGCTAAATCGGATCTAAAAAAGGATTACAATTAGGAACTTTAAAAGAGTATCACTTATTTAATTATAATATAATTAGTGCTTATATATTTCATACAATTTCTATTATAATTTAGCGTTTAATTCACGGTGTCAAAATCGACGAAGTTATGTACGGAAGAAACTCGTGCTTTGCTTTCTCACAGGATTTCACGAGGTTCGGACAAATGGCTCATCTGCCAATTAGATTAACAAGGCCCACACAAAATCTCGAATCAGCTTTGAAAATTCGTGCGTGTTACTCGCGGATCGAGGGATCGGCCGGAAGTGAAATGTGATCTCGCTCGCGCTAGCGCGTTTCGTAATCGGCATACCGCACCGGCGCGGCGTGCATTATATCAAAGTCGAGAGGGAACGATCAGCCTAAAATGGAAATTTTAGTGTATCGTGCGAGGCGTATATCCGCGCCTGAGACGAGAACGCCCGCAATGTAATCACATACGCCAAGTAAGGAGTACGGGCATACATCTATGCATCCGTGAAGCATTTTTACACGGTTTATTATGTGGACAATGAACTTACTTGGTGAAGCCTACGAGAAGGGAAAAAAAGGATATTTCGTCATTATATCGACAGTGCGCGCTGCTATCATTATCGTAATCTTTCGAAAGTTTTTTTCCCTTGATAGAGGAGATATTTATCTATGTATAAAGTGTCTTTCTGCGATGATCTTCGCGTGTAAATAATTGCCATGCATTTAATAAGCATTTAATAGATTCAATTTTTTCAAAAAAATTATACCAAATTCAAAAATAAAATAAAAGATTAGTTAATCATAACAGTTAATTATAAACAATATAATTATCAAAATCGCTAGATTATTTCGTGTAAGGAAAAAATGTCGTATATTTTATATTGTAAAATTTTTTATTACATTTTGCATGAGATTCCCCAGATGATACAAAAACAAAACATAAAGTGCGAGATTTTTTTAACATAAAGCTGATTAATTAGAACTGAAATTAATTATTTTCATTTTCACTCAAAGGATCCCTAACAACTTATCCGCATAACAGCCGTTAATCACTGAGATGTTACTGATTTCTAGAATTCTCAACAATGTTTCGCGTTAATTAATCGAGACCTAACGCTGATAGAATCACATGCTTGTTATAGCCACTATCGACCTACTTAGAGCTTTGCGAGGCAACCATCGCTTCATCGCGATACGATCCGACGGTGGTGTACACGGTGGTATTACAATGCAAAACAATTACAGCTTTCATCGGAGCTTCGGCAATCCGACGTTTATCGAAGCCGCGAATCTATATACTCGTCGGATCGTACCTTATGAATTCACATCGCCGCGCGATCGAAGGTTTCGGCTCGTTAGCATACCACGAAAACAACGTCGTCGTCGCGCGCGTACGCGCGTCGACTACGTAAAAGGAAGACTGTGCAATTGATAACGCAATACCCACACGTAAAAGCGGCGCTCAAAGCGGCGGCGGCGCGAATTCCAGCGTGGGTGCCGTTGTACGAAGGTAATCGTGCATTTGCAGTCGGCTAATTGCCAGGTGTGCTCTTGCAGATTGATGAACGTGCGAATCTTGTAACGGCAAAACTGTGTAACGCTATCTTGCGTTTGAAAAACGCGGCGGGTCAACGTCGACGAGCGCGAAAAATCGACCGCATTATTTTCCCTTCCAATCCCGCGTCATTAAGAAACCTGAGGAGCCGCTTCGCTTCGCCTCGAGTAGATTGAAGTTACTATAGCCGGGAATGGAGCTGAAACGAAGCTAAAATGTAATACGCCGCTAATTATCGAACGCGGAGAATTATGGGCGAATAAAGTGGCCGCGCGGTGCGCGAGAAGCGAAGTCGTTAACTCCTCTCTCAGGGAAAACGTATTAAAAACGTACATGAGTAACGCACAGCGATAAGGGATCGTTCGTATATGCGATCGAATTGAAAAAGTCGCTGTTGGCAATGTTTCAATAACGAGATACGCTGATATGCATGACGTAGCTGGCATTTGTAATAGCAATGTCACTTGATGACCGGATTAAAAAAAAGGGGAACATTGAACAAAAAAAATGCGAGCAGGATAATATTGTATAATGAGCGAAAATTACCGTTGGACAAGCCGAGGTCACTTGGCGTTTTCTACTATGCTAGAAAACGACAGAATTGCACAACTTTTGAGTAATAACGTTATAAGCATTAGATGAGAGAGAGAGAGAGAGAACGCGCAAAATTTTTTCGTGCTAGATATAGATATATATATAAATCAGAATATATCATATTACATTAAGATAAACTTTAGAAACATTTTACAATATTAATAGAATTTAAAATATACATAGTTGCAAAACATGTAAAACATTACCAATTGTAAATTATTATAATGTCTGCACCCAGTTGAATTGTATTGTTGATGAGATTTACAATTTAATTATGGATGCTGATTTAATACAATTATAGTACAGTCGATTGAATACATGCTCACGAAATTATTACTTTGTGTGTGTGTGTGTGTGTGTGTGGAATTACTTTGAAATTATTACGCAATGGCAAAAGCATTCGCAGATAACGTTCTATTACTTACAATTATAAATCTACATATTCTATGATAGGGCAATTAACAGAATCATGCAGATGCTATCGAGATGACGCTATCGGAGATCACGAGATTTCTGAAATTGATAATGTCGATCAAAACTCACGTATAATATAATACTACTGGCCCACTGGTGTGGTCACAGTTGAGCGCAATATTGTAATCAATAACTTATCTCTCCTCTTTGTGAAGGAGAGTCTTATTACGCAAGCGAAAGGTTTGCTCTGCGAATTAATCATGTCAGTTACGGCGTTTAGTGGGAACAAAAAAAAACTTTGACGTCAGTTTCCAGTGCATCTGGTAGCTCTCGCCGGTCTAAAGATCTACAATTCCAAATGATTTATGACGAGACACGGAACATGTTCATCAATTAACTTAATGGGTCTACAGCCGAGGTATTTACGTATATAGAAATTACCGGTCTGTTCAACGTTAAATATTAAATTACGGTATATAAATAAAAACGCAGTTCCTCGCGAGTCAATATTGTACGACTTAACGGGAAACGATTTAAGCGTTAGTTTCCTTTAAAATATTTTTAATTTTTAAAATTAAATCTTTTTGCAGCGACTGTTACGCTTTAAATCGGGATTCTGTTCAACTAATTAAAAAATGATATTTTATATTTTTTTCTGTTTCCGAGAATTAATTTGTCAGGTTTACACACTTTTCAGTTAATTGCAATTAATGATTTGTTACATAATATAAATATATGTGTATTGTACGTATTTTTACACAAAAGGTCATCTCCGATGTTCCAAAAAACCTTGAAAAATAAATCAAAAGAGCGAGAACAATTTCGTAACGTTATGTGTATATCAAGATAGCAAGACCTTCACACAGGTGAAAGCGAAGGAGAGCGTTCAAATTTCACGACATGCAACACCAATCAGTTTGCATATAATTCGGTTTGTGTACCAGATACTTTGTTCATAATGCGGTGTGTTATGAAGACGTTATCTTTCTGACACGGCATGTCAAACGTCCGGTTGAAAAATTGAAGGTGCAGAATTTTTTGCATAATAATACATAATAAAAGTGCGCTGTTTATTTTGCGAGCCGGATTTCGTCCGTAATTAAGTAAAAGAGGAGCGAATATCGAATAATCGCGATTTTACGGCTCGTCGGTCCGCCGTAACGCTTAAGATGAAACTAGCGGTCGTAGAAGCGGTGAATGGTGGCAAAATGTAATAACGTTAACGTAGAAAAGGAAATGATATTCGATATTTTATTGCACAGTAAACGCGACAATTTTCACCCGCATATCCTCTTACAACATTACGTTGAAGTGAATTTTCATTCAATCTTTTGATATTCAATCTTCCAATGGTTCCAACCTTTTCTCAAAAACTGTAAATAAAGCGTGTTTAAAAAATAATGATCAATCGTTATTAGAGAGATTTATGTTAAAATGAAAACTAAATTTTTCAAAATATTAACAATAAAATTTATGTATTACACAGAATCTTTCAAACGGTATGTAGCAGTAAGTAAAAAATAAATTCATTTCTTACAAGAAATAATTAAAAATTAAATTGGTCGTTATTTTCATAATCTGTTCGCATACATTTCTCGTTTCTGTCTTTTTGCTATCGTATCTCTGGTATTTTTACGTGTTGTTTGGACACGTTTTGAGCAGTCAATTCAATGCTGTGAAAAGGAATTCCGTTACGCGTGTGTTCCTCATCTTGTTTCTCCCTATGGTCCCCCTACGTCTACGCGTGCCTTCTCTGCATTCCGCGCCAGCCGTTCTCACTTTTACTCTCGCCAATGATCGAAATCTCGTGCTTTAGAGAGTGATATAACTTCGTCTTATCTCCGGAATTCTTCGTTGAAGTCGTCAGTGAAATCGTTCTCAAAACGACGAAAAAAACACCGGAACAATATGTCGTCATCCTCTCTTTCTCTTTCTTTCTAATGTCAAATTGATTAATCTTATCCTAACAATGTTAGTGTCAAGCTGTCGAATCATTTAATTATTATATTAATGTAACGAGACAAGAATTATTAGCGATTGCCGAAATCGTGAACGTTCGCCTAACGCGATTATTGAAATTAAAAGTGTTCTTTTGACACAACAGATAGCTGAATAAATCAATTAAAATATAAGTGAATAATATGTGTGTCTCGAAATTACATATTGCAGACGGAGGAAAAATTGAGGACTGTAAAGGAATGCTGCGAGGGATACGAAACGATTCAAGGCGATGCGGAAACGGACGCGAGCTGTTTACCGTTTTGCGAAAAATGTGTGGCAGGTGTGTGCGTCGCACCGAACGAATGCCAATGCGATCCTGGCTATCACGGAGATGACTGCGCTCGTGGTGAGTCCGGAATGAAATCAGCAATCATTAAGCAGCGTTTCTCGTTTCACTTCATCAGAATGTCTAACCTTAGATTCGCTAATGTATTTCTAATGGACACTTATCATCATCAATCGCTTAAACCTGTAATTTTTACATTTTTACATCATTGAAATGTTGATATTTTATGTGTGCGTGTGTTTTTCGTGAATTTAATATACATTAATTATCATAAATAGCTTTTGATTTCTGAGTTGTAAATCTTATCGATATCTTCTAAGTATTTTTTTTTCATATGCTTACTGCCTAACACAATACCAAATTTATTGTCTTCATCAAAATAAGAGTTAACTATCATTCCAACGTAATATAGCAATTAAATTTTTTCTGCGCGACAATTATGATTACTTAAGACAATGCCAATTCTATCCGTAATATCACTGTCAACACGAACATCATAATGTGACCCGAAGAGATGCTATCTTTAAAAAAACAACGAAAACGTTTTAGAAGGTCATTGAAATGAAATACGCTGGCGATACTTGCAACATCTTCTATTTATCGAACCGGACGGAATAATGTTTGCAGTGCTAATTAGGTGCTGATAAATCGCTATGACATTTCAAAAGAGTATATTTAAACCGAGGCAATAAACAGCGATGAATATTACATGCAAAGTCGGTTGAATTAAAACCTCGGAAAGCTTCGAAGGTCTGTATAATTAATCGGTCCGTATAATTCTCTAGTGCCAATTTCGCAACGAGATTCGAAAAATAGGATCTGGGAGTAAGAAAATAAGCGATGCGTCGCGCGGCGATTGTGAAACGAGATTGAGGGCGAAACAGATCCGAAACGGGCAGCGGCAAAACGCAACGAGAAATTTCACGCTCCATGAAACGGACCGACCTTCCACGACCGCAAGAACGCGCGTGTGAAATGACTGTTTCCAGTGAGATAGTACTTCCACGCGAGAATCATAATAATGAGTCGGATTTCTCGGTGTGCTCGTACTTACAACGCATCTCGTTAAAACCGATGTTAACCCATACGTGCCGCGCGCCGTGGCATAATCATGGTTGTTGTAAAGCAACGTCATAATAAAAGCTATTAAAAAATTCATTGGGTGGTGTTTTGACGTAGTCGTTGACCGTGAAGTACATAAATGAAAAAAGAAAGATATTTGCTTTTTCATTATCGGCAGTTTATTTGTAATTTTTTCTCGCCCTTTTACACTCGAACTTTTTAACATCAATAGCTACAGCTTTTTGCAGCTTCTGAATTAAATTCCGAAAAATATCATTCTTTCGTCTTCCTTTGCGGTCCTTCGTCGTAAAATCGCGCTCGTAATAAGGCTGCAGATGATAAATCGCGGATCGGCGTTATCGTTTGTCAAACGCAGGCAGAAGTCGCGGGTTGCACGCGACTGTTGCGTCAATATACGATCGGGGAACGCTTCGAAAGTTGCGGAAGCCCGGAAGTTACGAAGCCGCTACTTTCCCGCGAGCGTACGAGAAGGTCGTGGGCGGCGTGCAGTCGATCAGATACATACAACGCGTCCCGACGTTCGCATAACGCAATCGCGACGTCGATGCTTTATAAGAGACACTCGCGATGTAGTGTGACAAACGTTCGCCTTAAACATTTCGCAGATACGATCTACAATCCATCTCGTACAGACTTATTAATTTCGCCTGCCTGTATTTACGAAACGTTTAATAGCCCGCATTTATGTGGTAATTGCGTCATTTTTTTTTCGTCTTGACTGTCAACTATCCGTGAAATACGTTGATACTGTTGATTAAAATAGAAACTTCTTTTAAAGGATCGCGTAATGTAAAGTTAATGGGGTATCGAGGATCGTTTTTTTAACATACGTAAAATGTTACACAACTTATGGTATGGTTAAACTGAAAGAGCAAGTTTCTGAAGTGAATTAGAGAACGTCTTATAAATATACGAGTCCAATTTGAAACGGTTATTCACCGCTGCAAACTGTTACTTATTTTATCATTAATTAATTTTACTTTTGTAGCCTGTCCATCGGGATTTTGGGGTCTGCAATGTATGGAAGTATGCGACTGCGGCGAGAGCGGTACCTGCGATCCCGTAAACGGCACTTGTCAGTGCTCTCCGGGGCTGCGAGGACCTCGGTGAGTGTTTAAAAATATCAACGACCCCATGTTTACCGAGGCAACAAGAGGCAGCTCGAGGCGATATCCGCTCGAGCCGTAAGTGATACCGTAAAAATTATGCTCTTCCTTTCGCAGATGCGAGGAGCATTGCGCGATCGGCCAATGGGGCCCGGGTTGTGCAAACGAATGCACATGTCAAAATCGAGATAATGGCTGCGATGCCGTAACCGGAAGCTGCACCGACGACGACGACGTCTCTACGGTCGAGCAAACGTTGCCCGTTTATTTGCAGAGCTCCACCACCGACCGTCCACCGCAAACACTGGAAATTAGTAATACGGAGCAAACGGAGGTTGCCACGGTGCCGCGTGTGACCACCGAACGCCAGGCGGAAGGTGACATAATACGCTTAATCGAAGAAAGCATTTTAGACTTCAGGGTTGCGCAACTGTTTGTTCGAAGATATTAGAAATTGATCTTTACGCTTTCAAAGGTTGGAAATGGCTCAAAAGGCGAACTCGAGAAAAAGTTGCCGATTAAAATTAGCGTTAGGGAAAGCACATTTCTCGCTCTACTTTCGCATTGTGAAAAGAACAAATATAATCCGACACATTCGTCGCCACGTATAACGTCGACGATACTTTTTGTTTCTCACGCCAATGATAGATTGCCTCAGTCTAGCAATTAAGCAATTATTAAGCGTAATTAATAGTTAACTAATAATAGTATACGTAAAATTAAAACTCGTGATATTTAGTTTCAACCGCAGAAATCGATGACGATTGGAACGACACCAATTACATTCCGGAAACGACGAGTCAGGCAACAGCTTCGATCGCGGCTCCTCCTCAGGGAGCAGGAGTCTCGACGAATGAAACACAACTGAAGGATGCTTCCACTACTGCTCGTCCTGTGATTGTCCTGGTTTCCGTTCCCGAACGCAGAAGAGACGTCGAGAAGGATAGGCAAAAGTTTGCGACGAAGAACGTGCCAAATATCGACTACATGAAAACCGTTCACAAAGGTACTGTCTCGAAAGTTTAAACACTTTGGACGTAAAAAAAAAATCTTTGTCTTGTTTTCTTTTTGCACACAGTGCTCGATTGTTCGAGCTCTAATAAAACATTTCTACTGCTCAAACAGATGATATTCAAACACCATCGCTGATCCCGATGGACATCGCTCTGATCGTCGTCGCCGCGATCGTCTCCCTTGGTTTGACCTCGCTCGCGGTAGTTATGATCCTTCACATGCGCTCCAAACTGTTCGACACCATTCGCCTCGCCGTCTACGATGACGAGAAGACCAAGGGCCAGGAACGCGAGAGCGTGAACGGCGGAAGGATGTCCGCGATGATGAACGCCACACTGCCCCGTGAGTATCGAGAGTTATACGTTCACCTGACAGGAACATTCTCTCCTAGATTGTCAGTGAGATCCGTGTGTCCTTGACCCCGATGGGTCTGACCACATAACCGTTTTGAGGATAGTTTTGACCGTCAGCGGTAGTTTTGATAACCAGCGAGAAAGCTATCTCGCTGATGGTGCGATATATGTCAAGCCCATTGTGCTCTAATCAAGTGATTGCACAAGAATCTTGTGCAACTAGCAGTTCGTGTATTAAATTCGATATCGATTATATGATTTCAGCACCCCCGACTTACGCAAACCCGATATTCGCTTATAATGCGGAACCGGAAACGATACTGACGGTCGATGGCATTGAATCGCTAAATACTTATGCTAACGGCGCCGCTACGATCGGCCTGCGAATTTCTGGTAATTTTCGCGGTAAGTTCCCGCTCTCTTCCTAAATTTGTCGCACATAACAAGACAGCTAATCGTAATAATTATAAAGAAAATTGGACTCCAATACGGAAAGAACAATTTTGTTGAAAGATCTAAAAATTTTACTAAATACAGATCTGAAAATAATTTTTTGTTGAATCATCAAAATAATTTGTTGGAATATTAAAACTGATAAGCATTGCTATAAAACGTTTTGATATTCTCGCAATCATTTTAACTTTCGCACAAAATTATTTTGATGAGTGAACAAAAATTATTTTCAGTTCTGGATTGAGCAAAATTGTTCTTTTAATTAAAAAAGTCTGCAGATGACAGCTAACGAAAGTACGGATAATACAAACAGTTTTATTTTGGTTTTAATCCAGAAGATTGTTAATCTTTAAATACACCACATACTCTTTCTTTAACGTTATTTTTAAGATTCTCAACACAGATTCTTTTATTGCGAATCGCAGATCTGTTACAAGACGGCCATTACGATCGACCATCCGCAACTCTTATACGTCTGCAGACAAACCATAATAGCATGGACCATAACACGGAGCACTTGTACGACGAAATACCCTTGCAGACCACGCCATCGAATCGCAAGGATCTGTAATGGAGAAACGCGTTTCCTGCACTTACTGCATTCATGCTCTCCAGTCTATTCGTATCTTTAATACAGTTCAATAATGCGTCATCGTAAAAGGGACCTTGAAGCGTTTTTTAGGCAAAACGTGACTTGTCGCGGACAAAACGGATGAAAAGTCGATCGCTTCGGGACCGATGAAAAATACGCGAAAACTGGTTTCCGACCTTACGGCAGAACCGTTGAATGTGCAAGGCTGAACGTGACTGCAATTGAATGGCACAAGGTGGAGAAACAAGTCACAGCACCGTACTGTCAGTGACCGACCAGTAGAATTTAATCAGCGGAGCGTGCAATCTCCTTCTGAATAAACTATTTCGACGGGGTTGACGTCAAACACGGGGGCGCAATGCACCCGATTACGATTGCGCGCGAATGCGTAATTAGGTGGAAGGCGCAAAATAATAGAGTTCCCCGTGTAACGAGCGGGAAAATACAGCGCGCCGACTGTTATTATACAAATGACATTAAACGTTTGTGTAGCCTGCGGAGGCGGGAGATACCTGTTTGCGAATAAATAGATGCGAAAATAAATTGCCCCGTATAAATCTGACAATGTCGCGTTCAATGTTGACGTAATTTACCTGGTATGAATTACCGTTTGCGCAAATAAATCTTATTTATTCCGATTACGAGCGAATCTTTTTCGCACTTATTTATTGTCGCCGGCAGAGAAGAGTGCCTATTTAATATTAACGATATCATATTATTATGAATTCTTCAATAATATAATCAGTCCCGTAGTAATTGCATCCTGAAAACGAAAATAATACTGTTTTTCTAGGAAAATCATATCCTGCGATAATATATCGAGTTTCCGAGTCACATCACTAATGACGTGCGATACGTACGTAAGCGATAATACAACGATAAACGAAAATTCGTTTATCTTGAGAGGAAGTGCACTTAATGACTTTTGTGCATCGAAATTGAAACCAAAGAATATAGAAATCCTATTTAAGGCAGACGCAATACGTGCGTGCTAGAAAAATATGACTTTAGCGCCACTTTTTATTTGTGAACATTTCTAAATAATTATCTATAGTAAATTAAATTAAATAAATAGTGTGTAAGTGCAATATAATTGCGTAAGTCTTTATTTGCTACTATTTTCGTATCAATACAGTCTAAGGAGTCGACGTTAATATAACTTTATTAGCAGCAGATGTATTTATAACTGCGTTGTAAGGAAAAATAAATTATGTCATTATCTTCGATACTTTCCTCCGGTGTTTTCTATAGAAGGGAAGGAAAACTTTCCGTTTCCATGTCACGCGATAATTTGATGTATCACTTCGTTTTGCACCGATTTTTTTATATTTTGCACTCGTTTCAAGGAAATGTTATTTGCAGTCAGCATTAGCTTATCATAATTAAATAAACAAATATCGTGCACTTATCGCATTTAACATATTCTTGCGCGTCCCGCCTTATTATCATCTCGATTCGCTTATGTGTCCATTCCCGAATGATATCACCCGGATTACGTAAATAACGTCGAATGCATGAAGCAAGAGTTATAATCAACTGCGCACACAACAGACAAATTTTGCGTGTTATTTAGTGCAATACTTGCATCAAGGCAAAACAATTCATTACTTTGAAAATTTAAAAAGCATTTTTCTCTCAATTAAAATATTATATCCAAAGTAAAGCCTGTAATCTTTCTTTCAAGATAACCCCGCATACAAATAAATCAAGTGAATAAGTATATTTCTTAATTAATAGCTTCCACACATATTTATTCTCCTATACGTTTTATACGATTATTTTCAACGTGCTCCAAGTGTAATTTAAAAGGATTTTCATTTTTCTACTTTGACCTAGGACAATCTTGCAAGAGCTCGTAAATTTTTATGACTCATGTTGTGCGAAGAGGATCTTTTTTATAACATAGTTAAGCTAAAATTTAATTGCGATACATTTATCTTATCCCTTCGCTCTGCGCACACGCGATCAATAATTTATTTACCCGATTAAAGCTGTGCCTAATGAGTCAATTATGGCCCAGTTAATAGCGATGACCTAATCAATAATTAGATAAGCGTAAAAGTGTGTGGAAAGAAACGGGCACATGTACGCTTCGGCCCCATTTGGTCTCTCCGACATATCGATACGCATAACCGATAAGCGTTTCTGTGAACGGAGAGTGTTGCGTAGCTTAATGACAAGTTTAATGAGAGGAGATGAAAGCCGCTGACCCTTGCGACATCCTTATCGCGGTGTTGTCCACACTCTGACCGAAAAATAAGCGTCCAGTAGTAAATTCGCGATCGTACATGCAACATGCAGAGATTGCCGATCTGCCTGATTGTCCTTACGTGCCTTGGTGTCGGCACCTGGGCGATTGACGGTGTCAAAGGCGGGCAACGGCCGCGTTACCCTACGAGCGGAAATTATCACGGTAACTCCACGCAGAATGGTCTTTGCTATAAAAGGGTGCCGTAAGTCATCATTTTTTTCTCTTCAAGACAAATACCGTAACCCTGCGCAATAGCGCGGTTGAACATTATTTTTTGATCTCTTGCTTGAAAAATCGATGAAAAGTAATTAATATTCGCGCCTTTCAGATACAGCCATGTTTTAGCTTTAAACGCCAGCGGATCGCCTTACAATACCATTCCTCAGCCGCCCGGGGGCAACTATCCCGTAAGTAATCGTTTCTTTGAATTGAATATAGCTTGTAGAAAAATTGATTCCTATATAAGAAATCTAGCGCACTGAATATCTTAAAAAAAAAAAAAAAATTTAGAACGCAAACATCTTTCGTGCGTTAATTAGGAATCTCTGTAATTAAAAGAATTTGAGCTATTTAATAGCTTCGGCTACGGGGATTATAAGATAAATTCTGTTCGTCAGCATAATGACGGTTGGATCACTATCTTGGACTGTTGCGACGGCTACGAGCGCAACGTGACGAGTGGCCTGTGCGAGCCGCGATGCGACCGCGGTTGTTTCGGCGGCCACTGCACAGGTCCGAACGTCTGCAGCTGCCCGCCCGGATGGCGTTCCGAGGACGGCGTTTGCATGCCCATTTGTTCGTATCAGTGCCAGGAGAACGCCTACTGCTTCTCGCCCGAGGTGTGCGTGTGCAAATTGGGCTACGACCAGACTAGCGACGGCCAGTGCAGACCGATCTGCCCGGACGGATGCACCTACGGCGAGTGCGTGGCGCCGCGCGTCTGCAGCTGCAGGCCGGGATACGTTCTGAATGAACGCAAGGAGTGCGTGGCCGCGTGCGAGGGCGGCTGCGTGTACGGCGTATGCAGCAGGCCGGGCGTGTGTACCTGCAACGAGGGGTAATCAATCCTGATGTCGCGTTAATCCCGAGAGAGTCCTCAACAATCTTCGCGAACTGCGCAACGTCTTTCGCATCGGCGACATTCCGCGCGCGATAATTAAACTCTGATTTACTCACGTATAGTAACGTCCGTAACCTGTTCCTGCAAAGCGAGTTGCCTGCGATATGAATAATTGATAAATCAATGTTGAACTCGTCAAAAATGATATTACATGCTGAAAGCAATTATACGCCGTGTCGTGTAACCGCTTTCGTACAGGCATATAAATCAGCCGTTTTGTAATTTTCATGCGGCCATCTGCGTAGATAATGTTATTTGCGTTGCCGCTTGAAGTGCAATCGAGCGTTATAAACATATTAAATTTGCAAACATTACTAGTTTTACAGAACGAGTATCGGATTGTGTATATAGGACGTTTCAGAGGTGTGCTGTCTTTCAGTTCTTTAACAATTTCGGAATTTTAGCTGCCTGATAAATTTTTGATAATCTTCTATTTCCCTTTCTGACTGATAAATAAATATTATACCGTATAGATGAATAGGTATAAAATAATATCATAAGGTAATCATAAATTGTTTTACAGATACACCAACCCACCCGGCGATCGCGAGTCCTGCGTTCCCGATTGCCCGAGCGGTTGCCACGACGGCGAATGCGTCGCGCCAAACGTTTGCAGATGCAGACCCGGGTACACGCAGGATCGTTACAGCGGCAGATGCATCCCGGGTACGGGTTCGTCGCAGTGCGGATTTGGATACAACGTCGACCCCGACACCGGTAGATGCATCCCCGTGACGACGACTCCGACGCCGCACCCCGTCGGCGATTGCAGATACGGCTGTGGCCCGCACAGCGTGTGCGTCGGGTACAATCGGTGTGCTTGCGAGCCGGGATTCACCGTCGACCTCGATACTGGCAGGTGCATCTCCGTCGCGACGTCCACGACCAACTCGACGCAATGCAGTCGATACGGCTGCGGGCCGAACGGCCGATGCGTCGGGCCGAACGTGTGCGTCTGCGATCCAGGATTCCGCATCGATCCCGATACCGGAAGGTGCATTCGGCACGACATGGGTGGCACGGGTGGCGAGGATGTGTGCCAGTACCCGTGCTTGAACGGCCGATGCACCGGGCCGAATCAGTGCACCTGCAATCCCGGCTACACGCACGACGTCCGCGACGGCACGCGTTCCAGATGCGTGCCGGTGTGCGTGGGTGGTTGTCCGAACGGCGTATGCACCATGCCAAACTATTGCATATGCAATCCCGGATACCGGAAGGAAGGTGGGGTCAAGGGCCGGCAGAGATGCGTCCCGCAGGAGTGAGCGAGTTGACGGCACGCAAAACATATTGTTAGATATTAGTTTGATGAAATTAATAATTTCACGCATTACGATCGACCGAATTTGTATACACACACATAAACTAACAATATAAATTATAAAACAATAACTTTTTTATGTGTTTTTTATTTCGCGCACTATAAATGTGTAATTACGACGACTTTAACTGATAATAATGCAAAGATAAAATATCCTCACGCATGTAAAAGTTTCTAGATTGTAATGAATTGCTTTGATGACTATACATATTCTTGAGTAACATATTATAGAGACTAATCAACAGATATAATTTCTCAGAGCGAATGAAGTATTAAAGTATGTAAAACTCCGATGGCAAGTGAATACGTTAATTATATAGTAAATTATAAGGTTGATTATGACGTCAAGTATAAAAATAAAAAAAAAGCGCTCTATAAAGTCTTACAGTCTTATAGAAGGATATGTAAAAATGGCATTAAACTAACTACAAACGCAATCGCGTGCAGTATTATTTTACACCACCAGCTGATGTTATTACATTGTAAATGGGTCAATGCAGACTGCATCCTTGGCCCAGTACGTCAACCCGACGTAAGTTTCGCTCAAGAAAATGTACGTTCCGTTTATGCACTGTTAAACATGCGGAATCGATTCGTTTACGCCATAAAACAATTATGCAGTTTCTCTCCAGAGCTCGACGCAACGCACATTTCTTAAAAACGATTCACAAGGTATTCCGGAATTGTTAATATTGTTTATATAACCAACTTAATAAATCGTGATTATTCAATGAAATACGAGGTTTTATACAATATTTATACCAAAAAAAAATTTGGTCATTTTAACTTCAAAATGTCTTGAAAATAACGTATTTTTGAAAAAAATGTTTCAAATAAAAGTTGTAAAGTTTAAAGAGGACCATCAGATGATCTACTTAGATTTTAGATTGAAGAACTTTATTTTAAGCTCAACAAGGCCCAGGTTGATTTTTTTCGAAACACCTGTTTTATTGCAGATTCGTATTCTATGGGAAAAAATAAAGAAAATTTATTCCTGATAATTTTTCACTAAACTTCTTCCAGCAAAAATTACGCTCAAAGTTCTTATCTTGAAACACATTCTCAGATCGAATACAGAAGATTTAATTCCATTAGAATACCTATTTCAAACGTGATTTTTTGATTGATAACGATAATTTTTTGATATCACTATTGTAATATAATAATATAATTCCCTCAACATGATTCACAACAAACTCATATGAACTCGTAATCAATACATATAATTTTTTACTCAAAATTTTCGTTAATTTGTTTGAAATAAATTTCTAATTTTCTTTTGTAAAAATAAATTAACTATTGCGATGCGAGGCGCTATAAAATTTTCAGCAGTAATTAACGCAAAATAGAATTATTGAAATTAAAGAAACTTTGCTGATAAGTAGAGATTTCGCATGAATTTAATTGTAGCTGCCTGACAACAGCTAACATCCTGTCGAATTCTGATAGCGCGCTCCTCTCATAGCAAAGAGGAAAAGAAGCCTCAGTATAATCTGCGACGCAATATATGTTGCACGGTCATTCTCGTGCTAATCGGTCATTCTCGTTAGTAGATTTTTCTTTATAAGTTTAAACATATTCGGCAATTATGAAAAATTTGTACGTTATATTTATTCTTACCGTTCTATCAGACGAATTGGTTACTAGGCTCGTGGCAGGGGAAGATTTTCCGCAATTTGCAGGGCAACAGTTTATGGAAAATTTTTGTAGTAAATCCGTTAGGTAAGATTTGCCAGTATTCTGTGAATCAAAATAATGCTTATCGATACTATTGTAATATAATCGGCATAGCGAGATAATATTGTAAAAATTATGCGCTATTTACAGTTATATGGAAACCTATGCAGAGCCATATTTCGAAACATATAGGGAAAAAACATGGGGTATTTTTTATAGAACACGTATTCGGTGGAATTATAGAACAGAGGTAAGAGTTTAAGTATATAATTTCTAATTGAAATAATATTTGTATTAAAATAATAAAATTAAAATTCAAAATATGTTAATAGATGCATTTGACCTCATGTGTTTTTATCGAAAAATAAATAATATTCAATATAAGAATTTTAAGACATAAATTTTTTAATCAAATGATTAAAGAAAGGGCCAGTAAAATTATAAAAATATAGAAATAGTAGTTGATTGTAGCCGATAATAATGATATTATTTTTAATATTATTTTCAATAAAATTTGTAGCTTATTTCATAATATTTAATATTAAAATTTTAAAACTTCAATAACATTTTAGTGGAGAAAATGTTATTTCTATTTTCAATAAGTATGGTTAATTGAATCGCCTATTATCTACATCGAGCATCCTGTATTATTCTCTAAAGATAATATTTTTATTATTCAGTACTCTACATATTTCCACGCATATAAATAAATATTGCGATATCACTAATACACGAAATCTCGTCTCTATTCTCAGACTCGCCTAGCATGGCGCAAAGAATACGAGTGTTGTGACGGATATAAGAAAGTTTGGGCTCTAGAACTGGGAACGGGGAGATTATCACGTCATCAAAAATGTGAACCGATATGCCCTAATTGCAACAATGGTTCTTGTCTACGGCCAAACATATGCATCTGCGATTACGGATACCGTTCACAGAGAACTATAAATTCGTTCGTCGGCTGTTTTCCCGTGTGCACTCATCCTTGTGTAAACGGCAAATGTGCCTCACCCGACGTTTGCGAGTGCGATCCTGGATACAAATTGAACAACGATAATTACACCTGCGAACCTGTCTGCACTGTAACATGCTCTGCAAAAGCATACTGCTATAAACCCGATCAATGTCGCTGTATGGAAGGATACAAAAGTGATGTCTTAACTAACGTAGGTAAACAATAGAAGCACTCCGTTTGAATTATTTATTCAATTTGAACTTTACTTATAGTTACTGCAATATATCAGTGTAAACATGAAATCAAAGTTGAAAAATTGAGTAAGTGTTAAGCGCGTGTTCGTGAAAATAATTATTGTCACAATTAATTGGAAAGCTATTGATGCCAAAGATAAAACGAGAGAAAAGTATAAATCAATGATAAAGATTATACCAATATCAATTTGAACATGAAATCAAAGTTGAGAAGTTGAGTAAGTGTTAAGCGCGTGAAAATAATAATTACTGTCACTGATTAATTGGAAAGGTGTTGATGCCAAAGATAATACGAGAGAAAAAAAAGTGTTAATAATAAAGGTCGCATCTTCTTGTGTTTAGACATGCGAGCCTATTTGTGAAAGAGAGTGTGTTCACGGCAAGTGCACAGCCCCCGATACGTGCACTTGCGACGACGGTTACGAGCCTGATCCGTACAACTTTTTCGTCTGCAAGCCCACGTGCGAGAACGGTTGTCTCTACGGCATGTGCACCGTGCCTAATGTGTGCATCTGCGACGAGGGCTACACGTTCAAGACGAGCGGTTGCGAACCAGTCTGCAGCGAAGCTTGCGTTATGGGCACTTGCGTGGCTCCCGAAAGCTGCAGCTGCTCCGAGGGGTACGGGCTGCTCGAGAATTCAAAGTACGTCTGCGAACCGGTCTGCGAGAAGGCTTGCCTCAATGGGCGATGCACCGCGCCCGGCGTATGCAGGTGCAACGAAGGATTCCGATTTAGTGGCGACGAGACGGAGAAGCACATTTGCAAGCCCTATTGCAAAATTCCTTGCGAGCCATACGGCGTGTGTACCGCGCCGGATGTCTGCGCCTGCTTCGAAGGATATCGTCAGGTTGATCAGGCGGAAGCCGAAAGAGTCAGTATTAACTCGCAAATTTATATTAGATTCTCATAATCGGAAAAATGACTCCAAGATCTATTAGTTATGATTCGACAAATAAAATTTGATATTTATTTTAGTAACTTTAAGTAATTATACCAAATCCCTGTCTAACTCAAATATTTTTATTGTCTAATATTCATTTCAAGAAGCTCCATACGCTAATTTTTTATATTCACACGGAAGATATTGGTTTTCAGACAAATGTCACCGTCAGGTCGAATTGCGAGCCGATCTGCGATCCCGAATGCACAAATGGATTCTGCCACGCTCCGGGAGAGTGCTATTGCTATGCCGGCTATCACATACATTATTTAAATCCGGATGTAATGCAGTGCGAGCCCTCATGTAGCCAGAATTGCGTCAACAGCTTCTGCAGCGCACCAGAAACTTGCCAGTGCAACGAGGGCTATCGTCCGTCCAATTCTTGGAACGTATGCGAGCCCGTCTGCAAGACTGATTGCATCAATGGATACTGCACCGCGCCAAACGAATGCACTTGCAACCCCGGCTACCAACCTACCGAGGGCAATCGTACGAGCCTCTGCGAGCCTGTTTGCAATCCGAGTTGCAGGAACGGTATCTGCACGCAGCCCGACGTGTGCAGCTGCAATCCGGGCTACCGTCCGTCGAATAAGACGAACGCGTGCGATCCTATCTGTCACCCAGCCTGCGAGACAAACGGGATCTGCAAGGGGCCGGATCTCTGCGTCTGCAAGGACGGTTATCGCATGGTTTATTACGACGGGAAAGACGTTCCGTTCGGTTGCGAGCCGATTTGCGATGTCGAATGCGGCAATGGCACGTGCACGGCGCCGGATCACTGCGTGTGTTTCGACGGCTATCGAAACGCGAAAACTGGCGGATGCGAGCCCGTCTGCTCGACCTGCGGCAACGGCACGTGCGTCGCGCCCGAGGTCTGCGAATGCGACGACGGATTCGTCCTCGCGGACCTCGGATTTGAAGCACAGGACTCTCGAGCCTCGGATGTCCTTGAAAACAGAACGGGAAACGGAAGCAGATGCGTGCCATATTGCGAGAAATGCGATAACGGCGAGTGCTTGGCACCAGGAGTGTGCCAATGTTATACTGGTTTCGTGATGGAAGGCACATGCGTGCACGCGTGCCAGGGGGGCTGCGGTACTCACGGCGAATGCGTCAGCGAACGCAGGACTTGCAAATGCGATTACGGATGGACCGGATTGCATTGCGATCAACCAACGTTATGCGTTTTGACCTTGAGCAACGAAGAAAATCGGACCGAACAGTCAGTATATACGAATAAAGTATTTTATAAACTTATACTTTTTTATTCTTTCATGCAAAGAATAAAAAGAAAGTAACAATGGCAATGGTATATTTTAACATGTAACATTATCATGTAACAAAATTAATGAGTTAACAGATTTAACTTGATACGTTATTAACAGAAAAATGGCAACATTAGAGCATTTTTATATTATTAGAAGAACTTTGATGTTATGATAATATCTGAAACAAATTATTGATCAGAATCACCTGTGATTCATTTATCTATTGCAGATTGACAACTATCGAAAAACGGAATGTTACGATTGATCGTGTACTTATAAATAACCCAGCTTGTTCCGAGTGTGTTGGTAAAGTAAACAATGAAACTTTGTGCTTTAAGATGTACGTCAATGATACAAAAGATGAGACGAAAATTGGTTGCTTAATGAATGAAGGTTCGTTACAACTAGATTAATTTCAAATTGGTACAAATTTATACATTTGAGATTGTAGCAAATTTATTCATTACGTCTACATTTAAAAAAACAAAATTTAAAACATTTTCAAGTAATGATTCAAATTTGTCGAAGCACTGATAAAACTAACTGTATTTCTTTGGATGCATAGATTTATATACTTCCAATATAATTAATATTTTTTTATATGATACATCAAATTATTTTTGATTTTAATTTTTCAAAACATTGCAATAATATCAAAATATTCTACGAATTTCATAATTTTATAATTAAATTTGTTTACGACATGAATTATTACGTATCAATTGTTATATCTATCTATAAGTTTAAAAATCTTGCTTTTGATATATTATTTTACAATAAATTCTCTTGTCACTTCATTTTAGAATGCCTCCCATTGAGCAGTTATTATAAGAATCGAGGAGCAATAATTACGCTAACAAGTGTAATCATAGGTGGAATATTACTTGTAACAGCAATAACGATATACGCAACATTACGAAAACGTCGAAATAGACAGGTGGATCTAGGTATTCGTATCATTAAGTTTCATCAGACATATTATCTAAAATAACGATGTATGTTACAAACTTTTTTTCAATTATGTTTATTAATACACGATGGTGTAAAAAAATAAAAATGGATATATTAAATATAAATTGATTAAAGAAGAGATCTTTAAAAAGCATTTAAGAATTTATCGCTAATAACAAAGAAAAGAAAGTTAGATTTATTTGAATCAATATATAAAAAGATCTATAATTATATATATTTTGACATTTTTATTCAGTCTCACAAGAAACATGAAAGATATAGAAATAAAAAATCATATAACATTATTCTAATAAATTATTCTTATTTACAGGCGATGTTCATATAATTCGCAGCAGGCACAGTACATCCACGCAAGGACTAATCGAATGCCAGTAATTTTTAATACAAAAATACTTACAAAATCTTAATATAGAACCTTTGAATCTCTTGCACTAATGACAATGAATGATGCAAAAGAACTATTACTTTTTATTAACTTAATTAACCATTTAAAGTTAATTAATATTGTAAGATATGTATTCCTGGTAAAATATCCAATAAATTACTATTAAGAATTAAAATTTTTATTTATTTTTTAATTTACGAATTTTTTTAAGATTGTCCTGTATATTCGTATGTACAATAAAATAGAAAAATATATTTTTTTGTAAATTTGTGCCTAAATTTTCGAATAAATTGTACTTTCTAAAATATAAACACTTATATTAATCCTGCTTCGAGTAAATTTCCCTCAACACAAACGATATCAACGTTAAAATGAACTTTAGACTACGAATATAGGCTTTGATTAATTTTCTGATAATACTGCACATCCTGCTTCAAAAAAATAACACAGCGTGTCAGTGTGTGTTACACACACGTGTCGTACACACGCAAAGCAAAGATAAATGAGATAATATATGGAAAGAAAGAATTACAATAGTCAGTCTAAGCATCACGGAGCGAACATCAACTTCATAGTAAGAGCAATAAATTATGGGGTTGCTTGACGGCCTAATCGCTATTTTGGTTATCAAGTTATTATTTTTACAAGTGGACATCAAATGCGTGAATGCAATACCTTTCAGAAGTGACTGCCGTGAAATAATCAGGTATCATTACACTTTTTTATTATACTATCTCGACAATTATATTCTATTTACACATTACGTATCCATTGCCCTTTTAATTTTATTTTCAACGTTAATTTGTTTGAAATATTTTTAAGTTTTTCGAAATATCTTGCGCGTTTCGATATGCTACCACTTATATTAATTATGCTAATATTATTACAGGCAGAAAATACCAGAATACGATCCTTATATAGAAACATTTAGAACATCAGATCCGTTTGGGTTCTATAATATCAGGACTCGAACCAATTACAGGAGATTGGTAATCAGGCTCATAAATAACGTTTGCAATGATACATATAAAAGAAATGAGAAAGAAATATAGAGAAAAACACAATTTTATAAATTAGCAATCCTTTAGTCTTTATATTACTGACAAATTAACAATATGTAGTCTGTTTATGCCGCGATTGTAACCCGCTAATTCGCTAATCACGTTTACAGTTCCACGACCAGATAAGATGCTGCGAAGGCTACGTTCTATCCGGAGCTATGTGCACGCCGCGTTGCCCGGAATCGTGCAAGAAGGGTACCTGCAAGGAACCGGACGTGTGCACTTGCAACGAAGGGTACCGCATGTCAAACGACGGAAAGTGCGCGCCGGAGTGCACGAACGGCTGCGTCAACGGCACCTGCGTCGATGCCGAGGTTTGCAGTTGCAACAAGGGTTACTCGCTGGACTCGGACGGATTCACATGCCGGCCCGTGTGCGACGAGAGTTGCGAGTGGAATAACGGATCCTATTGCTCCCAGCCGAACGTGTGCACGTGCCGTCTCGGTTACAGGAAAATTGACGATGACTACCAACTCATTTGCAAACCCGTTTGCGATCACGAGTGCACCAACGGCCATTGCACGTTACCCAATGTTTGCACGTGCAACCCGGGCTACGA